GCACTTAATTACTTGCAATATCGGGACCGGGACGTATACTCCGGTAGGGATTTATTGGTTTGGCAGGAGCCGGCGGTTGCCACCAGCGCTGCAGCCAACTGGGCGCATAGCTGCGATACCAATGGGTCATCGTCTCAATAAAAGACTACAAAACGTAACGGAAACTGCGCTTTAAGCTTGAACTATTTATTTATTTAGGTGCTGAGAAATAGCAAATCAAAAACCGTACACCGCGACGCTTCAAATAACACTGATCAATATCGAAGATTGAGATAGTTTATTTGCTGGCTGGCTGGCTAGCTGTTTCTGATGACCTCTCTCGCGCTCTCTCGATTCTTCTATTGTCTGTGGCTTATAGTGCTGCCTACGCTGAGGGGAAAAAAGCTAAATTGATACTCACTTATATAAATCATAGCAGCAAAATAAACTAAATAATATTCATTATTTAAAAATAAAATAATTGTATTAAGAAATAACCGAGAATTATAATAAGCTTTCTCTGCCTGCTAAGCACGTAACCATAGAATGTAGCTTGAAAAGCGCTAAGGCAGTCATCTCTAAAATAGCCGTTAGCTGATCTCTTGAACGTCGCTTCTCCTTCTCTCTCTCTCTCTCTCAGTATGTTGTTATTAATAATTATGAACGGGAAGCGTTTTTCTGGTGCGTCCGTTGGCGTTGCTTTGGCAGTAGAAGTTACCACCATCTGTTGCGCGACTACGTCATCGACAAAATTCAGAGAGATGAATCTAAAATCTTGAATCACAAGCGCAACAAATAGTGTCAATTAAATTGATTCATGTGCAAGCAGGCCTGCAGCAGAGCTCAAAATCATCTAGTAATTTGCATGCAGTTAAATAGATTTTTGAATGCTGTGTGATTATTGTTATTTGCAATATTTTTAACTATGATCTCCAATTTAAATCTGTCTAGTGCATAGTACATAACATAAATGATAGTCCACATTCTTTTCACAGCTTAAAATTACCTGATTATTTCATACAGCCTCAAACAGGTTGTCAACTGATAATACCTGTATTATCATGCTATTTAGTAGTTATAATAAACGCGAGAAAAATACATTTTCGAAGGTCAAATACTCTTCAAATATTTAAACATACTTTAACTAAGCTGGAAACAGTATGAAAGATAAGAATCTCAAACCTTTTTTTTGCAGTAAATTTAACACTCCGGTATTATACCTGAAAATGAGCATGAGCCAAGCGACAAAAATTTTAAAGTTTATGTTTTGCATATACAGAATTTGTGTGTTTGCAAATGATTAATATAATTAATTACTGTTTTAAAAAGGTTTGGAATACAAAAGCTATTTCAGCTCATGTACGAGGGTTATTTGAATAATATTCAAACTTAATGTGAAGATTAGTTAATATAACAAAGTTAATGTCGCTAATAAAATAT